AGAGTAGATTGAAATATCTAAGTATCAGACGCATTCTTCAGGAAATATCTGACGCTGTTGCCAGGTTTCATGGACTGTTATTAATTGGACTATGCAACATTTTCTCATGCACAACTGCATCTCCAATAACCTGAAATAAAGGGGAACTCATGACGGGCAGTCGAGACGATGTTTTGCTACTGGACTGATTCATGCATTAGAGAATCTCAGTACGGATACGGAATGAAGTTATGTGCGTGAATGCGACAAATGTAACGTGATTTGACTGACGACCTTCGATTAGTGGGTTTAACAGGCCCTTGTCCAAATTGTGTAGTACTAATTGCCATGATTTAAGCATGTAATCAAGATGGCATAGGAAAGACTCGCAGTGCAGACAGGCTGCGAGCCAGATGATCCAATCATACAGAGTACGACTTGTTATACTCGTTCATTAGAATCCAGCTCATGTAGCCTGTTCAGTTAGCGGATGATCCGGGCCACTGGAAAGGACTTCGGAAGCTGCGGAGCCTGCGACCCAAAGGAACAACAGACGTTGAAAATGAATGATCATACAATGTCCAGTTAAAGATTAAAATCGAATATGTGGGTAATTAAAGTCATCCAGGGAGAGCTTCAACACGTTTAGAAGCTAAAATTGTATCAGCTCTTTCAGTGACAGCTGTGCTCCCTAAAAACCATCCTTTCGTCCTTGTCGCAGGTAGCAGACAACGATGAATAAGGGACTGCTCAGCATGAGTAAGTACGATGAGGTTTGTAGCATACTTAGTACTTTAGCATACACGGTAGCCGTGATTCCTTAAACGGGCGGAAAACGACGTTCTGATGGATTATTCTGAAATCGTGACTAGTGGGAATAACCACTCAGTGTCTCAGTAGGCGGCTGCCACTGTTCAGCCGGTGGTGATATGCAGTCATCTCTGCTCCACAGAGGCCACAAGCGGCCTTTGATTCGCAAGCATGCACCTGCTGATATATGAGTAACGTGGTTGGTCTGCTGCTTTATACGTTTCCACTGCTCCTAAGCGTCAGTTTAAAAGGACACCCAATCAGAAGAGGTAGAAACTAAAACTACTGCACAAGGGTTTCAGCCCCTGACGAGTCAAAATCCCGACGATATTGCTTTGGTCGGCGCAACGATCCCGTATCGACGACGCGCGCGTATGCATTAATAGGATGTAGGCGTTCGATAGAAGTAAGACAAATGTGTGCAACAGAAGAAACGCCAAAATACTACGTGCCTCTTTGAAACAATGTATGACGCGTGGCTAATGGGCGTACAGCTTCTTTCATAAAATGACTTCTAAATAAAGACGTTGAATGGCAACGGTCACAGGCTAAAAGTACGGCTCACAAGCAAACAAATGCAAAACTTGCCGACATGTGAACATAAAACGACAAATAAAGTTGCTCAAAATCACAAGGCGATGAACTCGGCATCAACCGGCGGATGGCTGATCGTGTTGACCGCGATTTCGTCTTTCTTTGGTTTCGACAAGGATTCGAGACGGTCCAGCAGGGGCTTGTCCTTTGTTTCCGGAATGAATATCGCAGCTTCGACAAACGTCGCCAAGAACAGCGTGCCATAGATGATAAACGGTAGAGGCGAATATACGTTGTGCAGATAGGCGATCTGCGGACCGACCACTCCGGCTATTCGCGCGAACGTGTTGCACGACGCTCGAGCCATGCTACGCACCACCGTCGGAAACATCTCGACAGACAGCAGGTGGTTGATCTTCCAGACAGGATCGATGGCGCTGGTGCTGACCAACGCCAACGCCACGACAGCGTATGGAAAGCCGAGCATGTCGACCAGAACCGCTGTCCACAGTGACACGACTGTGATGACGATGAACGACAGCATGATGGTTTTTCTCTTCAGTCTCCTCGTCAGCCACGGAATGAAACCGACCGTACCTTTCAGCAGACCAAGGAACGCCGTTTTCAAGTACATGTCTCCGTACAGGCCTTCCAGATTGAAGTACACGCCGGTGGACACCACCCCGGATGTAAACCAACAGAACGCCAAAGCTATCAGCCGTTTGAACGTCACCCTGTTCCTGATCAGGTCCAGGTACGAGTACTTGCGATCGAACGCGAGCAGCTCGTTGATCTCCAAGTTCGGCGGCGAAGTTATTAGAAACTTTGAGATTCTGGAATTGACCCTTGCCATGCGTCTGAGTATCTTCTCGGCCTGCTCTTTTCTGGAATGCTGCAGCAACCATCGCGGACTTTCATCGGTCAAGTAGAAGAGCAGCAGAAACGGCAGACCCTGTACGGCGATTGCGAAGTGAAAGTGATCGGACTGCTTCACGACGAACGCCGTCAGCGCCATGGTCACCATGCCGAATGGCCAGCCGTTGAGACAGCTGCACAGCAGGCGCCACTGTGGCCCGGTG